TCTTCTGTTTCACTTTGAGTATGATATTCTTTTGTATTCTGTAAACAACAATTAAATCGTGTTAACATAACTACCTTACACTCATATGTAATAACAGATTCATGCATTTTGGAGCTCTAACTTCGGCTTTTAAAATGCAGCTGTAACATCATCGGAAGTAGCTGACATTTAAAAAAAGATATACACAAGTCCATACAATTGATTATGCAGTTGGTTCTTATGGATTAAACTGATTAAATGTGTAGTACACTATCAATCCTATGATCAGATTTTTAAATGCATGATTAATGTTCCTTGCAGATCCTGTTTTGGCAACCGTTATTGAAGCATATCTGGAGCAGCGTATTGTGCTACTGGACTGCAGCTGTGTAAATGATCACTGTGATGTTTTAAAAGTGCTTTGAAATGAAAAATTGAAGGAAGTTTCTTCTTCTCTATGGCAGAAATTGCAGGAGATAAAATTTTTAGATGGTTAGAGATCTTCCTACATGTTTGATGGGCTTTGGCAGTCTGCTTCACACCCCATTCAGCCTCTTTGCATTATCTTTGTCCTGTGCTTGTCCATACTATTCTTGTTCTTTGCCTCCCTTTTTTCATGTTAACTGGAAAGAAAAGGACTCTTGTAGGTAAATTCCGTTTGACTGTGATGCTTGCTGCTCTCACATTACTCAGTTTGTTTTCTGAATGCTGCATCTTGGGATGTTTGGGGTTTTGGTTGGGTTTGGGTTTTGGTGGGTTTTTTTGGTTGTTTTTTTTTTTTAGATCATCCTTGCCCCCAAGGGTTTTCTCTATTATGATTTATTTTTAGCTGAGGTTAAGATAATAATACAGTAAATGGTCAACAAAAAATATGGGTAGAGCTGTTACGATGGATAATATGTGGAAGTGTGTCCAGTGCAGGTTAAGAATTAATTTTTATTGGCATTTCTTGCATGAGATCTTCTGATGTCATATGATGGAGCAGTTACTAATACAGACTTGAATGTGATATTTGAAATAACTCAAGCAAAACCTAACTTATACAAGCCTATATTAAAAATAACACACGTATGCTTTTGGTGAAACATACGGAAAAATTTTCTTTTTAATGGAAAAGTTCCGAAGTTTTTGTCAAGGCTAGCGATTCATAGTATTAGGATTTGAGATACAGTAAAAAAAAGCTTTTTAGTTAGGCTTCATTGTTTAGTCTGAGTTGTGATGACTGAAATTTTGTTATTTAGTTTAAGTAATATAATGCATAAATTAGTAGGCTCATCAGCATCCTCCTGCATTTAATTCCTATCCATAAAGCTGTGGTAATCTGGGTAGGCCACTGAGGTGGCAGTGCTTCTTAGCCAAGCAAAAGAGTTGCAGCTGATCAAAGTACTTTCCAAGATTTTAGAAATCTTTGGGGTGTAGGAGTACAATGTGGATTTGTTTTATTACCGAACCAGCAAAACTATACTTTAAAGTCATTCTCTATGTACAGGATTGTAAGTTTATATATTTGCCTGTTGAAAACAAAGTTGAGGTTGCTTCTGTCTTCAGCCTTTTCCTCCCCTTCTCATGACTTATCCATAAAAATAAGGTTTCTGGAAGGAGGGGGGCTGGTCTACCTAGATTTAATCTCCTTTTTAATTGAATATAAATTGCTTGCATGGCTGGATTATTCTAAAACTGTTTCAAAAGAAGAAAAATCTGATCTACGTCCATTTAGAATTATTTTTATATAGTATGATATTTTTGTGTTAAACTTGATTTTTATTACTCATAGTGCATCATAAGCTTCAAGACTGGGTCTTGTGGATTTCGGAAATCTTGGTTTCAAAATCAAATGTGTTAACTTCCTAGCTTTAACTTGTGTCAGCACACAAGCATTTGACTTAATTAAGCGTCTAATGTTTTATGGAATACCTGTTTGAGAGTGATTGAAATATTTAGGGATTTTAATTGGGTTTCTACTTCAAATTTCTGTGGGTTTAGTTAATGACTTTTTCTTTCCAATGTAAATCAACATTCTGTAGAACTGTCACTTTCTATTTTAAAATATTTTCTTCCTAAATGGCTTTAGAGGTGTGTTTTATAGGGCTTGTACATCTCTGCCTAATAAAGAGTAAGACATCTAATCATGTGATAAAATTACTATTGAGGTTGCAATGGCTTCAAACATAGTACTTTGTCTTGGTCAAGGAGCTGCTTATCCTACTCTGCAGCATTATTTCCCAGAAGCTGATCAGGTGTGCTTTTTATGTAGGACTCTTGTTTTCACCTTCCTTCTTTCCAGCCATTTCATTGTTTCTGTTCAAGTTCCTTTTTCTGCTGGGATGATGAAGGTTTATATCCAGTCAGTGCTGTCCTCCAAATATTGCTGGGGATTTTTTGTTTGTTTTGAGACATAGTTTCTTGTCTTTACAGTCTCTCCAGCTTTTGTCACCTGGGGTAAGATGATAAATATAGTATCAACTGAATTTTCCAAATAGGTGTAACAACTCTTGTTAAATTCCAGGGAAGTTAATAATAAATTTATGCTACTGTCTATTGAGATTCACCTTGAGACTTGTGAACTCAAATTTAGTTACAAGAGATTATTTTTTTTATAACCAAATAAACCCACTCTTTTTATTTAAAAAAAATAAACCAAGAAATCCTTTCCCTTTTACAGGAATTGGGGGGGAGGAGGGAGGGAGTCCCATCTCAGTTGGTGCCATTTTTTCTGTCCTTTCTCATCAATGTCATGTGTTACTAAAGAACTACTGATTTATGACCATTGGAGTCATGAATTCCAGACACCATGCCATTCACTGTTTAACCAACTCCCCCATAGCTTTTAATAGTGCTATCCCAAAGGTAAGGTGCCTTGAGATGAGCACAGGTAATATAAACCAATATCTACCTAACTGATCTTTTTTTTTTTTTTTTTTCTCTGACAAAAGAACCAGCACTTCCACCTACCAGAGCATAATCTCTGCAGTAAAACATTCAGAAAGCAATTGTAGTCTGGATATGCTGGGTGTTTAATCTTAGTGTAGATGGTTGACCGCAGTAGATCTTGGAAATTTGGATATAAAGAAGGAATTGCTGCTCTGACACTTACAAAGAAGAAATGCTAATATTATATTTAGTGGATTGAAAACCCAGAAGCTTGGAAGGTAAACAAGTTGGAGTACTGTCAGTGAGAACACAGTCACAGACTACAGACACCTTGGAAAGGATCTTTACATTTGTGTATGACATTAAACAGCAATTGCTAGACCTTGATGTAAAAGGGAGAGTGCTCTTGAGAGATGAGGCCTCTGAGATAAGAGAGTGAAGCTCCTCTCTCAAATACCTTTTTAAGCAGCTGGTGCTGAGTAAGGCTATGTGGGAGCTTGTTGACAACTTATTCTTTATTCTAAACAAAATTCCTTTGCAGTCTTATTCAGTTTGCATGTGATGTTACAAATTACTTCCTGGTTTCATCTGATAAGCATGATGTTCTTTTATAACTGAAAAATACTCTTTTAAAAAAAATGTAGGTGTGTTAGTCACCTTAAAGATGCCAGGCTTTCCTGGCAAATACCAAGAGTCGTTTGGCTCAAATGCTGTGGTATGTTGTGCTTGAGAAGGACCACAGAGCTTCATTTCTTCTTGTTATACCATTTGTGTGCTGCTCTTTAGGTGGTGCATGTACAAACTCATTTGCTAACGATGTTGGAGTTAAGGATCATGTTTTATCTGTGTTTCAGACCTAGTGTTGCAAAGTCTGCACTTACTCTGGTGGTTAGAAATTCAAATATTTGCTAATATATGTAGATTGTTTCCACTCTTTCTCTGTACATAATGCTTAGCATGTTATTACAATTTATTCATGAGAAGTGTCATTTGAAATGGAAAGAGCTTGGGTGTAGCTCTCCCTGTAAGGGCCATAAAGGTGTGAACTAGAGAAGTGATGTATACAACTGTGAATGTATAAATAGCAGTAGTAACTTCATTAATTACACACAATATTAACAAAAAAAAAAATCAAGACAACTCTTTAGGAAAGCAAATTTTCCATCTGTACCTTGCTTGCTACTGTAATGGTTTGCAATGTTAGGACGGAGTCCTTAATCTGTTTCTATGTAGGCCATGGGAATACTTTCTTCTTCACACACACACACCCCCCGATTTAGTGATTTGTGTTTAAATATTTTATGGGTAATCTTGCTCCGTTCTGCTTTTGAGAATAAGCTTTGATGGAGAAGTTTGTTTTGCTCTAGGCTTTGCTGGTGCTCATAATGACATTTCCCAACTGGCCGTTTGTAAGACAAAAGCAGGCTGGCGGCAGCAGCTGTGGAGACAGCGCACGTTGCCTGGCAGTTATGAAATCCAAAGAACAGGGAGACCTAACAGAAACCCATGAATCTGTGGAAAGAAACTTAAACAGTAGAGCAGCAGATCGTAGCTAGTGATTATAACAGCAGTTCCTTCCTCTATTTCTTCACTGTTTCAAAGCTTAAGGAACCATCTTTCAAAGTCTTCAGAGCTACTGTCTGAAGGTGCTGTAAGTACTGTTGAGGCATAGTCCCATCAAGTGGCTTAATTTCTGTCGCATAGTCAGCTGAATGCACCAAAGAGTGCAGGAAAAGATGAAGCAGGGTTATTGGCTGTTTTTATAAATTGCTGGTGACGGGAAGTAGAGAACTGATGAGTTAAAACCCAATTTAGTTGTGTTGGTGTGTTGCACAACAGCTCATGACAAATGTGTTCGTGGTCTGGCATTTCAGCACCATCTGAGAATATGATCATGTAGTGGTTTGCAAGAGACTTGACCTATCCCCAGTAGATTCTCTGTGATTTCTGAAGCAAAACAATTGGTTAGAAAATGAGTTTGGGGAATGTTCCTTTCTCATATCTAATGTAGACATTGACCTATGTGTGCACTTCTAAAACAATGTGAAACAATAAACATAAAATATAAAAGATGACAAAAGTTAGCCAAATTCTAATATACTTTTTTCTGTTTTATAGAAATACATTAACTTTTGAAGTGGAACTAAACAATGGAACCAGATATTATTCGAATGTACTCCTCATCCCCTCCGCCACTAGACAATGGAGCTGCTGATGATGATGAAGATGAATTTGGAGAATTTGGAGGATTTTCTGGTGTAAGCACTGCTGATGTAGCTTTTGCTGATTTTGATACACCGGACTACAGTCATCCAAAGGAGGAGTTTATACCCACAAATCATTTCATCCCACTTCATGATTATTCTGACAATGTAGCTAGCATTGCAACTTTCACATCTGTTAAAAATGGTAAAGACTGCATTGCAGAGCTTCCTACTCTTAGTAAGGAACTTTCTGATATGTCAGCTACTAGTACCAGCAAAGAAAAATTTAAGTTTAGAACTTCAGGTACTGCTTTAGAAGATGTAAACAAAAGTGGGGAACAAAGAGACAACAGTGGGAAATTGGAGGGGTTTTCTTCTTGTGTCATGAGAACTGATATAGCAGGTGAGAGCCAGGTTGAGCAAATAGATGCTTGTAATGGTGAGAAACTTCCATGTCTAGAGATTCTAACAAACGGATTTGCAGCATTGGACCCTGTAAATCCTCAGGGAACAGAAGATCTAGACAGTATTGGTGACTCAAAGGGACTGAAAACTGTTAGTGCCCATAGTACTGAGCAAAATTTGAACTCAACGCCTAGCTCAGGTGAAGACTTTGCAGATTTTGCTACATTCTCAAACAAAAACCCAATCCATTTAGAGGGAACAGGACCTACAATATGCAGTGTTCTTAATGAAAGAGACTCTCTGAGCATTCAGGAGAACAACAGAATAAACAGAGTAACTTGTATTGAAGAAGAGGTTTGCATTTCAGAAATTAGTTGTGAACAGGGTCCCTCAGCACGGGAAGATAATGAATTTGCAATTTCTAGTACGTCTCGAACAACTGGAAGTTCAATATGCACTACTGAAAATGGAGAACACAGTGGGAGGAGAAGAGAACATGGCACAGAGAATGGCAAAGATTTTACTCGGCCTGATGACTCTTCAGGAACAGAGGACATCAAGATTGATAAGATCCAAAGCCTAAGTAGTGATCTTGCAGGAGAAAAACTGGGTGATTCTGAAGATCTTAAGATTGGTGGAAGTAGTACTGAAGTTGTAGCTTGCAGTGACACACATGATGATTTTGGTGATTTTGGTTCAGTCAGCAGTGCATCTCCCACCTTTGTTAATGCTCAAGAATCAATAAATGCTCTAGACTTAAAAGGAGCTTCCAAACGGCCTGCCCATATTAGTGAACCTAATGATGACTTTGGTGAATTCAGGGACACAAGTACTGTTTCTCAGCAGCCAGCAAGGTTGGATCAAGCTGAACTAAATCAGACTGCTGACAGTTTAGAATGCGATACTACCAGTAAAACTTCTGGCTTAGACTTCCAGCATACTACTGAGGTAGAAAATAGTGATGATGGTGAATTTGGAGACTTTGATTCAGTGCCAAAACCTCAAGATGAGAGTGTTGCTTTTCAGGACTCCGACGACTTTGCAGACTTCAGTTCAGCAGCTTGTAACCAGGCTACAGACTGGAATGCTTTTGAAGATGAACAAAAAGACAGCTGTTCTTGGGCTGCCTTTGGAGATGAGCAAGCTGGTGAATCTCATCACAGAAAAGAGACATGGCAGTCACATAGGACAGATACATCTGCCAGGATTGATGGTCCAGTATTACACAAGACTGACAGTTTTGCTTTAGCATCTTTCCAAGGAACTACCAGTAAGCAATCTCAAGAGCCAGCACCTTCAGTTCAGGTAAGGGTGGTGTTGATTTTGTTCAGTCTTGTTCTCCTCTTGTGCATACAGCTCTTCCTGGTTCCTGCTTCTGCATACAACAAACATTTGAATAGTCCTTGTTTGTCTTGTGGGAGAGATTTAATTTGGTGAGTGAGATGGGCTGATGTGAAATACTATGCTGTGTTTGCATCTTGTATCTTTTGCACTGTTACTTCCTGCAGAAAAATGAGTGGGGTATGCTGCTTGGACGATTATATGTGGCCCTTTACATAAACTGATCAAAGGAATAAGCCATCATAAACATTTCAGAGCCTGTATTAGTTCTTCCTTTGCTTCATAGTTTACTGCCTTTTGGGGGGTCACTCTGATGTTGCGTTTTCTTAAAATAGTGGTGTTGCTGGTTCCCAAAATTTTTCATCACCATTCTCCTATCATGTTTTCAAAATATGATTAAAAGTGCTGACTCAATTTGTAAATAGCTGCACTCATTTGCTTAGAGCAGAGAGCATGATAAAATATGACCTATGGAGGTCTGTCCCTGGTATTCCAACTCCTGGGAAGTTAACCATTTAAAAGTTACTTAAAAATAAGTCTCTGTTATACATTAATTGTGGGAAGCGCCATGTTATAGCAACATCACAGATATAGGACTGATGATTTCTTAAAGCTGCTGCTATTTCTAATTGGGTGTTTTGGGGAGGATGGAGTAGGTAGGGGGTGGGAGTAAGAAATAAACGTAGGTTTTCTGCCTTAGTTGCTAAGTATGTATTCCTTCCTAAGTCTTTTCACCAGTCATCTTTGAGATCTGTGCCTGGTCACACATAGATAATTTTTTTACTAAGTATTTAATATTACTTTTAAAAAATTCATAACTACAATTTGAGTTTAAAATTCTCTTCAATGCTTCTTTTTAATCCTGTCATCCCATGTGAGTTATTTAGAGTATGCTCTGTCTTTCTAAGTGTGCAGCAACACCAGCAATGATATGTGCTGGTGATAGTATGTGTCTAAAAGGTTTGGCTTTTCTCTGGCAAAGGAAATGAGGTAAGTCCTTTCTTCCAGGACCTTATGTAGGCTTGATGACAGCCCTGCCTCTTGCCATTTCCTACCAGTGACAGGTGAAATGGCTATTCAGAAGCAGGTTGTGCCAGCCAGGGCCTTGCGAGTATCAGCAAATGGCATGGAGCTTTTGGGGCTTAGCTCTGATTTCTCATCATGTTAAAAGGTGTGAGCCTCAGCTTCTGACACTTTCTTTTTGCTGTTTTGTGCAATGACTAACACACCAAATTTCAAAGTGGCTTTCCTAACCCAAAAAAAAAAAAAGGCTTGCAAGTGAACCTGCAGGTGGAATTTTGTGCCTATGCAAAACCTTGCTCATCATCACCTGAATATGTGGGCCCATTTCGCAACCTGAAAGCACAAATCTATTGTTATGTCTTCTGTTGGTCATTCACCCATAAAATTGGAGAGTACTAAGGTCATTACTGCAATTAATCTAAATTATTCCTGTTGCTACTTGAAAGACTGTCCAGAGTCTGATAAAGAAATGGGCTGGGGAGATGATTCCAATAAATTATCAATTTTTCTAGTTAATTATGCTATTAGGGGATAGTCTGAAGGTTTCAAACATTTATTTTTACTTACAATTTTCCATAATTTTATGATGGAGTTTCAATAGGAAACACTTCTGAATGTAGATGTTTATAAAAGCAGAACCTTCAGAGGTTCTGTAATTTATTTTTTACCCCTCCCCAAGTCTGCCCTAACGAAAGATAAAAGCTGAGTTGCAATGCAGATTCTTCGGTGATCTGTCATGAAGTCGTACAGTAGTTTGGTTAGATTGTAAAGCAAGTTTTAAGATTTAAATATTTTTTTCATTCTTTGTGGCTGTTCAGTTATAAAGTGATGTTCTGCCTCCCCTGCCAGAGAGGAAGTAGAACTTGGAAAATGTTTTGCACAAATAAGCTGTAGAGGAAGTTGAACTGGATATGTTTTCTCTATTGCAATCGTTTCCTTAGCCTTGCAATGACTGTTAGTTGCTACATTTTTTTTTTCTCCGTTAACTCTTAAAACAATAGTTACACATTTTCTAAACATACTTTATATTCTGTACGTGCTTTAGGTTTTGGAAGGGTCTATTGAAACATTTTTATATTTCAATAAAATGCTTTGTTTTAATCTTAAGTAATAATTATGTTTTTAATCCATTGAGCCACAGTTTAGTAAATTGCAGTTAGAAACATTGAGATTAACTGAGTCAGCATGAGCCAACAGACAGTCCCAGTAGTTTGAGCACAGAATCTTAGTAAAATTAAACTCAGATTTTGATTGGCTTCCTTAATTTCGTTTAAGAGGATGTCACTGAGGCCAAACCACACAATACAGCATTGTAGAGTATTTGCTTATCTTCTGTTTTGCATGTATTAAAGTTGAGTTCTGGAGCTGTTTGATGCAAAAGCAGAAACACTGACATGCAAAATAAAGCTAGGGAGAGGTAAGCGAACAAAGTTTTTTATTACCCTGCCCAAAGAAGGATAGGGAAGACTAAATCGCTTGCATCAATGTATTGCTGGCAGATATAAAAAGCAACGTAAAGAGAGCAGGCTGTGCAAGAGAGAAATACTGCATGTGTTAGACACTTGAGATAGATGTGAAAATTGAGACCTCAGCTTAGGCTAAAGGTGAACAGGGATCATTTACAATATACTGTGTACACTTAATCTGTGATGTTGAGGCTAAGAGAATCACTGTAATGTGGTAGCGAAATAATTTTGAATGGTCTATAAACAGAATGTAATCCTTTACTTTTCAGTTTTCTGCTTTTGTATACTTAGCCAGCAGCATTACTGTTTAAATGTGGAAATGATGTATACAGCAATTTTCATCCATCCAGAATGCAACGTGAAAATTATTTACCAGTAGCTCGAGTTCCCTTGCCAATGGTCTCTGTGTATTTTCCTTTCTGTTTCCTTAATTTGTGTATTCTGGATGTGGAGGTGGCAGCAAAATTTTGTGCTTTCTGAATGTGGTCTTTATCATAAGGTATATGCCAGGCAAACTGTTTTAAAGGTTGTGGATTTGGTATAAAGTTTAATTAGAAGTTGAGCTGTGCTTGAATTCAACTAATTAATCCAGGCTTTATTATAAAATATAGAATAGAAGAAAGTAAAGGGAAAAAGGTCACAAAAATGACCTTATGTAGTGACATGTAGTGGGAAAAAGATCATTATGTGTTTTCTCCTTTGCCTTTGGTCTTCGGCCCTCTGAATCCTGCATGCAATCTGCAATGTAGGATTTGTAACATGCTGACCTCTTCTATTCAGTAGTGCTGCGTGGAGGGGAGAAGAAAAAGGACATGGTATATGGTATTCAGTTAAAACCACTGAAAGAATTTGTAACCCCTTCAAAAAGGTTCCAGTTTCAAAGGCTGATGGACACAGATACACAAACTGTTATTTGAACCCAAAGTAATACTACCCTATACCTTAATCATTCAATGTCTGTCTTCAGCTGAAAAATATGTAATAGTTGGCTTCAGTATAGCTGCAGGTTTGCATTAGGTATAGATGTACCTTTGTGTTCATTAAAACTGAACTGGTGGGTGAACTGGTTGATCTAACAAGTTTTGAGTGAACCTGCACTGTATCATATGCGTTAATCCCCCTTATGTGATCACATAGCACGCTACTAAGGTATGTTTATAAGGAATATAAGGCTTCTAGCACAGCTTTTTCTGTGAGATAGTGTTGAACATTAGTCAGCTGAGGGGGTTACTCTGCTGTATTGTGCGTTAAGAATATATACAGGGTTTAGGCAGCAAAGCGCAAGAGCAGTTATTGCCTATAGTCATCGTGTGGGTGGGTAATATGGCTGTGCCTAGCTGTGTTCAAGGAGTATAGGCATCTCTAGAAGAGGAGGAGATGAATAGAGGCTCGATTGGAAGGCCAAAACTCTTACTTGATTTAGCTGAAAGCTAACAAATCCTGGAAAGGGAGGAAGGAGAAACCTGAACAGTCCTCCAAGTGGATTTTAAGATCCTCCACTTATTAGAGATCCTGTGCTTACATGCTCTACCTCTTCAGATTAATCAGACAGTGTGGTGATGTACAGTTACTAAGCCACAAGTATGCATCAAGTCAAAGAAAATCCTGGATCACTGTCACTTAGAGTACTTCATCTTGGGCAATGAATGAAGGCATTCTCTTGGAAAAAAGTAATTATGACTATAAAGACTTCAGCTTCCCAGTTCACCAAGATAAATAAAGATAGTGTTGGCTAAATTAAGTTCAGACAGTTGGGTAACAACTTGCAGTGTAAATATATCTGTCTGGAAAGGTTTTGGTTTTTGTTGGTTTTGTGTTTGTTTGTTTGTTTGTTTTTAAAGTCAACAGCACAGTTTTTAAGTATGTGCACATGAATAACAGTAGAAAACAGACCATTAAAAGTAGCCCATAATTGCTGTATTTCAGAACAGGCTGGCTAAGGGGATCTTAAAAAAGAAAATAGTTGGGGGGGTGTGTGTTTTAACATTTGTGTTTACATATCACAGAAAAAAATTATTTTCCATTTTGTACATATAAGTTTTGTCTACTATACTTCCTCTGAGACCCTGACTGAAAAGTTAGTAGACCACCACTAGATAATAATAACATGACCAACTGAAATGGGAAGTAAGTTTTATGTAGTCTAGATAAATAACTGTTAAACTTCACTTTGCCTGCATGGAAGATGCAAGATTTGATACATTCTTCAGCAAGGGAGAATAAATGTGCAAGCCTTCCAGCAGAGAGGAGGGAGGGAGCTTCACATTTCTACACTGAACTTCCCTGCAGTTTATAACTCTCTTATATCAAGAAGTAAAAAGAGCAGAGAGGTCTTGCTTCCTTTTCAAATCACTACATTTTCAGATTTGCTTTGCAGCCAAGCTCAACACCTTTATAGTTCCTGTTTAAAAATCTTTTTGGATATATTTAGAACTATCACTGCCTTCTTATAACTCTTTAAATTACTGTAAAAAA